GATTATTGCATACTTCACGGACAGCTGTCAATAATTGGGGTATAACCTAAGCCTTATACAGCATGTTATACTATACTGAAAACAGCATTAAACTATACAGCACAGAAGAGGCTCATTAACTGACACCTATCCAAAATTCTCATGGGCACAGATGCCAACTGGTGAAGTAGGTCACATTTTAGACAGGCTCCTAAAAATCAAATCACAGTTTGATGAGGTGATATGATGGAACGTGCAGAACCCACCCACCCACAGCCAAGTGTAGGTTAAATAAACCCTGTTTTGCTGTATCACTCAAGGAACATCAAAACGTAGAAAAGAAATAAAAAGTCGAGCTAAACAGGCAAGAAGAGCCCGTCTTCAGCCTTCGACTCCCACAAAAAGCAAGGCTGGAAGAGAGGGAACAACTGAATGACTGTTGCTTTCTGAGGCCCTCTTGAGGGACAGAAGAACTCAACATGGAAGTGTTACCTTGTAGAGAGTCTATAATAATCTTAACACCGCCTACACTAAAGAAGATTGAGTATGAGTGCCTGAAAGGATGAACGCTCAAGGTCTCAAATGGTCTTTTATACATTAAAACATTCTGTTGACCATATGGATACAGAATCCTGATAAACCTGAAATTCTTCCCATTTTACTCTGCAGAAGTACTCTACTTCTTTCTTCAGGAAAAATAATTACTTGCCAAGAATAATGTGTTACAGAAAAAAAGTCCATGAACTTTAAAGCATCACATGCTGTAACACCTACAGCAAGTCTTTCAAGTCATAGATAGTACTTCGGTCTAACAATCTTCAACTGTGCCATTACAGCTTTGTAAAACTAAATACATGATCCTAATATTTCAAGAATTCAAAGCACACACTGAATGAAAACCTCACTTTTTTCAATATCCCTATATGGTCCATCTAAGCAGTGCAAGAGCACTAGCTTTCACTCAGATAACTATGAAAAAAATAGTATGAATGAAACCTTGTTGTACAACAGAACAAAACCTCTCTCATCTGATGTGAAAAGGACCATGTTCTCCAAGAGCAAGAAACGTCAAAGAATTTTGAATGGTAATTTATATTTCTGAAATCATAGGAAAAGGTTATTTTGGAATTTCAAGAGGGTACATTTTTTGCTTCCATGAGACTTAAAGGAAATATTACACTTACCACCTCTTGAGCAAATGTCTTTTACTAAAAGGTCAGGAGATCAGCAACCGTAAGCAAAATTTCACTGTCTTCACCAACATCAACTATGTTGACCTTCCATATTTCAGAGGGATGCAGAAATTAATCTAAAAAACCCATTAGACGAATTGTACCTGATCCTGATAAGCAAGTAAGTTTTTTCAGACCTGTGTATGTTCTGAAGACATTGAGTGTTTCAAACAATCCTGTTTTCCCTATTCACCTCTTTTTTCCAAAGCTGTAAAACAGATTCAAACAGCAAAAAAGTTGAAGATCACAGAGGTTGAGTCCCAGCTCAAAAATGCCACACCAATTATCTGTTAAAACTGGTTACAAGCCATCTGTTACAAGATCTTCTCCCTGAATTTTAAAAGTACCAAATGGCAGGGAATGGACCATCCCTAAGTATACTACTGATAGTTAGAAAACTAAGCTTACATTAAAGTGAAACTCTCTCAACTTCTAATTCCAGCTATTCAAAAGTCTGTGATTCTGCCAAGATGGCTGAAAAAACGTATTCCTTACACCCATATCAGTTACTAGTTACCAAGTAGCTACAAAAGAAAAAAAATTATGACAACAAAAACCCATGGCAAGAAATAGGTAAAGCAGCCAACAATTTATTGTTAGGCAGACTGTTTAGAAATTGAATAGAAAAAAAAAAGGGGGGGAAACAGACAAAGAAATATTAACAGAAATTAAAAAGAAAAATGGGACCAACAAAAACACATTAAAGGGACAAAAAAATTAAAGAAAGAATAGGTACAGGGCAGCAACAGAGCATTCACATCTACAATAACATGTACAGAGAAAGACATAAGGGCACGTATAAAAAAAAAATTCTAGCATTCATTTAAGATACCAGTGCTCTCCCTCCTACTATGTTTTCACACAAACGTTCCAGCAGCAACAGAAGATACCAAGCTCTGGGCATATAAAAGCTATTCCTATGCCAAAATTGAACAGGAGGCAACTGTAAGGGGAAGATGTCTCATCTTAATCATTTACAACATTACCATCTACCCAGTACTGAAAATACGTAGCAGTAGATTTGTTTCTTCCCTTATACAGCTTCTGAGCTGTGTAGAATTAGCTTTCCTTCTAGCACAGCAAAAAACCCCCCTCCTGTCATGCATATCAGGGACACAGTGGGTCAAGACTAGTTTCACGGTGAGCCTACATCACAATAAATACCATCTGTCATATTCAAGGAGGCAAGTGAATTACTAAAATGTGAACTAAGATATATACATCAGCTGTAACTCCATAAAATGGAATTACTTATTCTAAATTGGTTTACTATATATTTGACAGATTTTTAGGGTGGTTTTTTTGTAATTTTTATTTGTTAAAATAGTATTTCTACATAGGCACAATAAAGAGAAGCCATTTTACGTTGTTCTTTCAGAACGTTTCCGAAACGCTGGTGCTGTAACTTCACCTCTGTCATGCCGCAAGCACCTGTCAATGGTGAAATTACATGAAGCAGTGAGTTTCTGGCAACTTGCTACTGCTTAAATACAGGAGTCTTACTCTTCCCCCATCTCACCTCTTCTCCCATGTTCCTCCCTATCTATGCTGTACCTGTCATTGTGTCTGCTCCAAAGCACATCATATTCTCCACTGAACCAATTCAGCTCTGTTGTAAAGCAAAAAATTAGGTAATTTTCCATTGAATTTTCCACTGAAAAGGAATGTTTTTCTAAATTAAAGACATTATTTACTTACAGTGGGAAGCAAACCATCTGAACCCAACCATGAATGGTATCTCTTAATTGCCTAAAGAACAATAGCTAATAGACTACAAAGTTACCATACAGGCAGAGCAAATCCAAAATGCAATCAGTTGCAAAAAATGAAACTGCGGAATCTCTCTCTGAAATACTGTACACATAATTTTTTCTCCTGGAATCCAGAGAGAAAACATCACTCTACCTTACATATATTTAGCTTGTAAATATTTCATCCTACCAACTTAACTTTCCCATCCAGAACACAGCCATAAACTTAAAGAACATATTTTCCCTGCAAAAAGGTATACACTCCCCTCTCTGACTAAGTAACTTCTTACTAAGAAAGAAAAACAAAACCAAAAACATTTCAAGCAGACTAAAGAGCGCACAGGGCTAATCTGAAGAGACTGGGAGATGCACTCCTAAATTATACTATGTATGAAAAAAGAGAGTGAAGTCCCAAATCCCACACTAGTATAATACAGTAAACTTACAGAGGAAAATAAGAAAGAATCTGCAGATGAGTCCTTGCATGTTCCCCCAGAAAAGAAACCATATATGCACTTGGGTACTGACTGCACTTTTTTTGCAGTTGCCAGGGGTCAAACGCTTGACACTGGTAAAAAAACCCACCAACAACCACCACCACCACCCCCAAAAAAAACCCCCCAAACTATAGGCAGCCTTGTGTAGAAGTTTTTTTGGAAGAGGTTCTTAGTACTCATGATGTGAAGAAGCACAATTACCACAAGTCATAACACAAAGAGGCCTTAGATGCAGAACAAAGATCAGCCTCACTAATTGACTTGCTTGCATCCCTATCTCAAATTCACATCTCTCACAGTCAAAAGCTCATCTTGAAAGAATTAGGTTTTCCCTTCCTCTACAGTGGCTATCCCTTATTTATACTTATCCAGTGACTAAGTAATACTCCTCCAACTCTTCAAAGCTTGCATTATCCCCCTCATTAGTACTCAACACTGAATACAGAAGTTGGGGAGGTTTTCTTTCTGATCATAAAAGGCGGTAGGTAAATTAGCAGAGAATCTTCTCAGAAAGAAATAAGGCATTTGTCTATTTCTCAGTTTTGTCCCTCTGATTTTTGTTGAAAACTTATTTACAAGATCAGCTAATATCCTCCCTGTACTCTGTGATCCCCTTGGCAATAGACTCTTCAGCTATACAAGGCTAATCACTATTCCTAAATCATTCCTAAAAAGCAAGGCATTTGTTCGGAAGACAACTTCAGAATTTAAATGAAACACTTAAGTCAGCCACCTGTTTTGGTCTATTTACAGGACTACTGGAGACATGACTCTTATCTGAAATGCAGTTACAGTACATAAAGGCTCCAATTGCCAAGAAAATCCTTGATTTCTACTGCACCTAATTTAGAAATTATGTACTGGAAAGAGTTTCTATTTAAAGCACAAGCATAATAAAAGTAGACGAAACCAATACCATTGAGTAAATATATTCATGCTATTCTATTGCTGCAGAAACTGCAGTCGTTCTACTGCTATGTTTTAACTGACACTGAGTGACTGGACAACAAATTTAATTAAAGTTCATTTGCTCCATAGATTCACCTTTTTTTTTTTTTTGTGGCTGAACAAGGTGCAGCACAGGCTGTGGCTGATTCGATCCCTGTGCAACATTTGACTGGTAAAGTGGCTATTACCTCAGAAAAGAAAAGGGGCCAACCATAATTGTCTTTTAGGCTGAGGGCACTCTTTGGACCTTATTCTCCACTCAACTGATTTTTTCCATGAAAACCTTGAACACTTCCCTCCTCCCCCAAAAACAACCATCTTTCACACCTCTATTTCCATTGCCAAATGTGGTTGAAATCAAACATGTTTCCCAGAAACTGGCAGGGGGTGGAGGGCAGATGGGAAAACAACATGGCTTTAAAGACGACTTATTGCCTTAGAGAAACCAGACTAAAAGCAGTAGTTTACATTTTATGACAAGGTTTTCAAGTTATTAAATACATTTGCTTAAAATATCTTAAAATACTCTACATTGCTCTATATTTGAAGTATTAAGGAGATAAGAAAACTGATGCGTCTTTTCAAATTGTTACCTCAACGATATCTGAGTTGGTTCTGCTTTCATGGGGCTCGTTGTATTCTGTATATTTAAGTAGAACTTTGTCCATATCAGTGCTGGCATACTGAAAGAGTTTGTTAGAGCTGTTAAAAATGATGAGTGCTATTTCACAGTCACAGAGTACACTCAACTCATACGCCTTCTTCATTAATCCAAACTTCCTCTTTGTAAAGGTGACCTGGGGGGGGGGGGGAGAGGAGAAAAAAGGGGGGGGAAGAGAAAAAAAAAATATTATTCTTTAACACATGACAAGGGTTTGAAGGACTCTAATCAAGCACTCAAGGAATATACCAATTGAGCCTACACTATTTATTCCTACTAACAAGCGACATAACTGAACATGTGTACAAGCTTAAAAGAAGAACTGCTTATCATATTTGGGTGCCACTTTTAGGGCCAATGCTCTATATTAGACTAAGCTAAACAATTACACCCCCCCACCTCTTCCACTGGTATATAACTACCAAGGAGAGGGTATATAACTACCAAGGAGAGTTAAAGTTTGTAGGATCCTCTAACCGTATTTCCTTCTGTTCAACCAACATTGACTTTCCAGGTATCACAATATTTTCTTCTGTGATGACCAGTTATTCTATAACTAGTTTACAAGTTACTCACAACCTTAATTCTAGTAAAAATCAAAGAAAACAGCAGTATCGATGGAAGCAACGCTGTTACTATGATTCTATGATTTCTAATTATGCAAAGCTAAGAAATATGCTTATTTTGTTGCTATTAAACCATCTAATCAAATTCACTTATACTTTTAAGCTGTTTTCTGCCACTTGGGAACATCATGAAACAATCATTCCATCCAATTAGAACTGCTGTGGGGAAATAAATCCATTACAGACCATCACAAAGGAGCATTTGCCCATCGGGGAAGGGGGAGAGACACTTAGTTATAAAGATCACCATCAAGTATGGAAAAAAGAGGTTTAAAAAATTATTCCTTTCACAAGATTTCAGTTAGTTAAGGATATAAGAGTATCAATGTATTTGACATCAAGTTGAATCAAACACAGGTCTAATGCTAAGACCAGCTTTTCGTCAAGGATAATATTTTTACTAAACATCCTCTTAAGTGTCTCAAAAAGGCACTTAACCTACTACTATGAAGTTAACGTTCTGAGACCTTTCAAATAAAGATGCTATTTTCAGATCTAGCCTTTCAATCTGAGCTTCAGTGTTGAGGGGAACACCTCTGTCTATGGCCATATTCACACCCCCATATTACAATTCAAAGTATATGCCTCTGTGACGGGTGAGTGACCTACATGCCCTACATGTTTAACAGACAATAGTGAGAATACTTTTGCAAGATATGGAATGAAGTAAAACACAAGAAACAATCAAACCTGTTTTATGGGTTTCTGTAGTTTAACATGTTAATTACTACCTAGGTGTACATCAAGTTTTTGGAAGATGGATGGGAAAATTCTGTGTATACACACCTCAAGGCATTTTTTCCAGAGATGAGTATCTCATGCATATTATTTTTTTAATACTATCCATAATACAAAATATATACTATCCTTCCCACCACAGAGTCTCAGAGGGATGCAGACAGATATACTAAAAACATTATGTACATAGCGTGCTGACAAAAACTGTATTATTACAACAGTATACGCACACTTTGCTCTTCCACCACAAATGATTGCAAAGGTACTGTGGACCTGAGATGCCTCTCCAGCTGTAAAACAGTATCATAGAATCATAGAATAGTTTGGGTTGGAAGGGACCCCTAAAGGTCATCTAGTCCA